AAGACTATTCAGAGCAATGAATAATAACAATAACTTATCTATTAAGCACATGCTATTAAGTAAATTTCTGAATACTCCAACTACTCAATAAATCATATTATAAATAAAAGTCCAGTATTTGTTTTCTGGGGAAAAAAATAAGAACTGATTATTTAAATAATTTAGTTAATAAATAGCTGGAGGATATTCCTATCACGAACCAGCTGTGGCTGACGAACCATTAAAAAACTTGGGAGCAACAGATAACTGTTTCGTCCTTGTTTTTGAGGCTTCTTATTAGTGAGTATTCACAAATTCACACGGACTGGGACGTAGAGCATTCAAGTTGGCACTAAAATGAATAAATATCTGTCAATAAACTCAGTAAATAATAATTTTGTGCTTAATGACATTTAGTTTCGAGAGTGATTTTCCGAATAGTCATCGTAATCTAGGAAGTTAATCTCTTTGAAAGTGTAGCTCTTTGTCACCAGTTGATTGAAATATGGACTAATAAATTGCAAATCAGCTATCTAAATGTGTCGTACTCATTACTGAAGAATCATAAATAATTGATCATTATTTTTGAAGTTTTCAAATAAAACATTGAATAAGGCATTATGTTAGTTGAGTATACGTAGCTTAAACAATAGTTAAAACTTATTTTCCGTTAAAAAAAATCATGTATATAACTGATCAGAAGTTAATATCAACTTATTATTTTTGTTGATACAACCTGTCAATTGTCGTTACCAGAAGAAAACTATAACTAGGACACACATATATAAACGTGTAATGACTGTACAGTTGAGTTAACATATTATACGTATTATTTTGGAAAACAGCTTGAATTGCAGAATAAAAATAAACAGCTGATAAAAGATTTCAACGTCAAAGAAATGTTAGTAGAAGGGGACACATAATCATGTAAATACATATGGCATTGAGGTTATATATTTTTTCAAACTCTCTTGATATAGAAGATAAAAGTAAGGTCTCATTACTAATTTTCTAACTCGTTTTCTCGACTAACGACTTGTTATCTGATAAGCCATTAATTCATACTCATACGGTTTTGTTTGAATATTTTGTAATTACCAGACTTCTCTAATTAATAAATAGTTATTTGATGTAGACTTCAGCCAGCATCATTTAAAGAAAACACAAACTTATATTATGATCATCACTTGTAATTCGTGTCTATTTGTTCATGCCATTTAATATTTGTCTCACACAAATCTCAAGTTAATTTTCTGTACAATTAGAATTATCATAAACAGAATAAGCGGTAAAAAGTTCAAACAATGGTATTAATAAGGTGATTCTCATCATTTGAACAAGTCTCCATTACTAAAAGTATCAAATTATACAATATTTCTGCTAAAATGTCATCCAAAAATAAATCTTAATTCATGGAACAGGTATTTTTTGTCTCTTATTTTAATGTGTTTCATGTATGCATGGAAATACGAAATTGTCTGTACATGTGAAAGTGTTTTTGTTCTGTGCATACACTTCGAGAATTTTTGGTCGAGTTTGGTTTTCGTCACGGTCCGCGTGACTATCGTAACCAATGGTTGGAGACTCTTGGTGACATGGCTCAGAATCGATCACAGTGGTCTTGGATACCTCTAACAGCACCCAAGACCACTGTCAACTAGGATACCTTTGAAAATCAAGGCTCACTATACAGCTATCCCATTCAACGCTCACTTATTTCCTATGATTAATTCTCAAACCATAAATAAGTAAACTTTAAATTATTTTTCTCAGATGAAGATTCAGTTCTTTTTCTTGTGTATGTATTTGTTCAGATACATCTGTCCTTATGTATGTGTGTGTATTTACTTGGATTCATTTGTATTTATTTGAATGAAATTAAAATTAGTTATAGTATCTACGTAAATCTTGTTTCTGTTAGATTATCAGTCCTCTAGTAAATTGACTACTATCTCTATTGTACATTCTTGATAAGTCTAATAATTGTCTTTTATTTTATCACTAACATTAAATAGAAATTTGGTATTAGACTTGGGATATCTTATTATAAATAATATTAGTTGTGTAGTGACGTTGCAGCGTTTTCGAATAACTTAATAAATTGGACATTAATAGGGGAATGGATTTTATAGTAAAAACTTACCTTGATAGATATTTCAGACTAAATAGGGGAAAGTGAATTTATTGGGTGTAAGTACGGAAAAGAACCATTCTATAACTAGAACTAACATATTTTTGCTTGTACTGTGATTGTCAACTTTACTTCCAAACTCCCCTCCAATTATTTCGTAGAGATTTCTTGTTTCATATTATATACCATTTTCTATTACAAGAAAATATGAGTCCTTACACAGTACATGTCCTGCCTATTTATTCGGTTAGTAGAGTTTTGTTTCCTCTTTTATCCATATAACCACACTGCATAAATACCAGACTCAATTAGTTACTGGGTCAATTAAATACTACTAACTTATACCTTGCTCACTCCTTGTACGAACTTTACTATTTATTTTTCTTTTAGATAAGTTGTACATTACAGTGAGTTGTGTTTCGTAGTTAAGCGTGGTTGAATTGGTTTCTTTATTTAATGGATTGTTTGATCGTATATTAACGCTAACATTTATTGACAAGAAATATCTCGATAGTGCCTGATGGTCTAGTGTTTGTTAACAGCAAAGTGTATTAGTTCATTGAACCTAATACAATGGGATATTTTCAAAACTTTTTTTAAACTTTTTGTAGGTAGTATACTCACAAATGTATATTCAGTCAGTTCAAAACATCTTACTCATTAGTCGACTTTCCAACTAGTTATATCTCCTATAAACGTCATTTGTATTCACTCATGAAATATGAGTTTCATTGTTATTACACTGTAAAATTTCCTGGAGCTCAATATTATCAAGTTTTAATCATACGTCGTGCAAATCACAGTTGGTTCTCTATCCAGCGTAGTATATTACAAAATTTGTCTTATAGATTTAAACCAGTTAGACAGATAAATGGTTTACCGAAATAATTTTCATCCTCTTTAGACATAAAAAGAGCCAAAAGCTCTGGAAACGTGTTCCGGCCTAGTTTAAGACTTCTCATTCGTCCACATATTTTATGAAGGATCAATCTCAGGACATTTAGGTATTATGGGAAATACGATATAATACAGATAACGATTATCATTTCCTATGTCAATTGATTCGCGAACTAGTACAAAGTAGCCGTTCAGTAGTCCTTTGCATTATCAGTTGATTAAAACCTATTTCTAAACCGTAATTCAAACTGATTAAGGTCGTTTATCAACTGTCAAGCCATATCCTGTCTCTCTTTCTGTTTTCCGTTATTTACAGTTAAACAAATGATTGTCACTTAGACGCCTAAGTAACTAGTATTACTATAACGCTATTCAGTCTATCACTAACAGTCACGATAACTATTCTTTATAATCTGAATCACTGGGAATGTTTACAATCATAAAATAATTTTTAGTTCTCCTCTAACATTAGTATTATTATCCCAGTTAATGAATATAGTTGACGGTTTCTATATCCTACAAAAAATAGAAATGTCATGTTACTCATTAATATGAAATGCTTGTTGTCATCGCTTTCATTAATTACAGTTATGTACAATTGAATAATGAAACTAATTGTATCATCACGTTCTATGTCGTATCAACATAGAGTTAGTTTTTAAATCAGCGTTAAATTAATTATCACCGTCATTTTAACGAAGAAAGGATGAATTTCTTTACAAAATAATTACATATTAATGTTTCATTGTTGTTGGTACTGTTGTTTTCAATGAGATGGTTG